CCCACGCTGTGCTGCTCAGTTCCTACTTGGAGAGATGAAAATGTTAGGTTAAGTTAGGTTAATGTTAGGTTAGGTTAGGTTAATGTTAGGTTAGATTTGGGTAGATCAAGTTAGGTTAAGAATAGGTTAAGGTAGGATAAGTTAGGATTAGCTAATATAGGTTAAATATGAGTTAGATTAGATTAGCCAGACCCGGATTATCTCGTGGAGGTGTTAATATATAGACCAGGTTAATTGTCTCTCACTCTTCCTCTGTTGTTTATATTGTTTTGTCGTGTTTATTTTCTTCTCCTTGTTTATCGGTTTCTTTTAATTTCCCGCTGTTTTTGTTTCTTATTTCTCCCACCTGTTCCTTCTATGCATTCCTTCATTACTTATTTTCTCTCACCGGTTCATTCTATTCCTTCCTTCATTCCTTATGTTCGGTCTCCAGGTGTGTTTACCGTCAATTAAAATAGCCCAGGTAAATCTGACGTCACTGCTCTGCATCACATTGTTTATCTCACCTGTAATTAAATATCTGTGTGCGTGTGTGTGTGTGTGTGTGTGTGTGTGTGTGTGTGTGTGTGAAATGTAATCCTAACCTAACCTAATGAAACCACCGATCTTCATCTCGTAAAACGAAGCAAAGAGATGTTTAGGTAGGTAGGTAGGTAGGTAGGTAGGTAGGTAGGTAGGTAAGTAAGTAGGTAGGTTAGTAGGTAGGTAAGTAGGTAGGTAGGTAGGTAGGTCACAGCACTCAGGTACTCACTGTGGGTTCCCGCGGCCTCCTGTAGGACTTGCAGGATGAAGGCGGCCTGTATTTTTCATTTAACCTGACCTACTTTAACCTAACCTAACGTCTTCCTCCTCCTCCTCCTCCTCCTCCTGCTCCTTCCCACGCCCTTCTTCCTCCTTCCCACGCCCGTTCCTTCACCTTCCCACGCCCCTTCCACGCCCTTTCACTTATCAAACGACATTCAAACAGGAGGGAAGGGGAGATTTACCAAGTTGGGCACGCACAATATTATCTTAAATCAGCAATGGCAGCTTATCATAGATATATATACTTCTTTCAAAACATCTTACGCACGAGATGAAAAATTCTCTTTCAAACCCCAAAAAGTTTTAAAAAAAAATTGTCTTCCCAAGTACCAGGGTGAGTAAATATCATTGGGTCAGCTGTAGTAGAATTTTTAAGACCATTTTTGTTGAGATGTTTTTGTCTGCGCCGGTACACGGGATTACTGCCATTGAGCCATTTTGTTTGGAGTATGTAGACATTTGAAAAAGGCTTTGTCCGGAGTCTGTCTTTGTAGTTATAGTGAGACCTTGTAATTTTTGGGGTAATTTTTTATCTTTTGAAAGGATTTGGTTTAAGAGTTTTATACGTATTAGGGTAATTTAAAACAGCTTTCGTGTTTTTTTTTATTTGACGTTTTATTTGTATTTTTAAAGAGTTTTGTTCGTGATTTTTGGTTTATATGAATTTTTTAATCCTTGGAGAAAATTTTAATAAGAAAAATGTGAGGTTAATACTTATGATAATTGGTTTAGAATTTACAGACAAGGTTTTTAATACGACGTTTGTACTGACCACGAGAATAAAAGTTTAGGTTTGGTTAGGTTAGGTTAGTTTAGGTTAGGTTAGGTTAGTTTAGGTTAGGTTAGGTTAGGTTAGTTTAGGTTAGGTTAGGTTAGGTTAGGTTAGGTTAGATGGTGGTTGTGGAGTGAATTGGTCTACAGAAGGTGTTAATAAGGTTGAAGACTGATGATAGTGGGGGTCAACTGATGGGCGGATGGTGGTGGTATGAACTGATGGGCGGATGGTGGTGGTATGAACTGATGGGCTGATGATAACAGTACTCAGAACAGGTGGGCGGTTGGTGAAGCAGGTAAGCTAACCAATTCATTAACCTGTGGAGGCTGATGAGGAGCGCCAGGTAAGGTCGATTAATCAGGCGAGATTTAAAAAGCAGGTGTACAGTAAGACAGGTGAGGCTAATGAGAAGTGTAGTGACGCAGCCATCCAGGTGTGTGGTGATGGAGGGAGAGTGAGATGGAGGGTGGACAGGGAGGGATAAAGGGAGAAATGGGGAGAGAGGGAGAGATGGAGGGAGAGAAAGGAACGTGAGGGTTTTGTGGTGGTGTAGTTCTCGCACTCTTAAATTTCTCTCCTCCTCTCTCTCTCTCTCTCTCTCTCTCTCTCTCCCTCTCTCCCTCTCCCTCTCCCTCTCCCTCTCCCTCTCTCTCCCTCTTTCCCTCTCTCCCTCTCTCTCTCCCTCCCTCTCTCCCTCTCTCCCTCCAGGCGACGTGTGTGAACTCATAATACTAGGCAGTAGGTATAGTGGTCTTTTCATCTGTGTTATAAAGTAGTTTGTGATATATATATAATAGATGTTATAGCGATATATGAGGTAAACGTTACGGTGGTGATAAATGTTATAGCGATATATATATAGTGTACCCTGTTGCCTCCTTGTCTCACCTGTCTTATATCGTCAGGGTTTTGGTCGGTTGTGGAACGGAACGGTGTGAACGTGACTGGTGGTTCATGGTGGTATTGACCTGACCTAGACTGACCTTTCATAACTCAGAACCTAACCTAACCTAACCTAACCTCCCAGCTCGATGCATCCTAGGCGTCAAAATGGCAAAAACGATGGTGAAAAATTTGATATATTTTTATTGAGAGAAAATGCGAGTGATCTGTGACAGGGTATACGCTTTTATTTATTTATTTTTCCTTTTTTTTTCTTTTGTTATTGTTGTGACGGATGATACCTCGTATATTTCTGGGTCTATTGTTTTTTTTTTTATTGAACGGGGAAGCTTAGTGGTGAGAGAAGAGAGTCATTAGAGCGATCACCGTAGACTATAACAGACGAAAATACATTTGTGTTGTGGTAGAGGGAATTTTTTTTTTTTAAGTGGTTCATTAACTAACATACGGACTCCCAGGTTAATTACTGTATTATCCTCGGGTAAGATACGTGGTTAATTCCCATGTAGTTACCAGTTACCAAAATATATCTGGGGAAAAAAAACGAGACATGGTTGGTGTTATGAGTTTTAAAGCGTGTCGGGCAAGATTTTCATGGTGGTAATAATTCAAAGCTGGTCGGGTGGAAAATAAACTGCAGCTGTACGTGGTGGTGTTTGTATTGTGTATGAGGTATGATGCATGTTATGGTGATGATGGTGATGATGGTGATAAGGATGATTCGTATTTGGCATTATTCGTAAGACATATGACCCAATTGAAGTATCGATGTGCGTGAATGAGTGGAAAGCATTATGGTGTGGGATTTATAGGGACGATGATGATGATGATGATGATGATGATAATGATGATGATGATGATGGTGATAATGATAATGATGATGCTGGTTTGCGGATAGTGATAGGGATAAACCAGATACATAGTCATTAATTGTTATGAAAGAGGACTAAACACAACACAACGCAACGCAACACAACACAACACTAATAACACTGAACATATTGCTTGAGTCCCGTTATTCATTGTGTAATTATTGTGAAACTTGTCTCTGGTGTACATGGAGATACCCAGCTGTTTTACACCACCAGACACGACCAACCAACCCTGAGTCATCTGTCAGGGGGAGGTCATGGAAGGTCAGGGAAAGGTCGGGGAAGGTCAGGGAAGGTCAGGGAGGTCAGGGAAGGTCAGGGAAAGGTCGGGGAAGGTCAGGGAAAGTCAAGGGAGGGGGAGGTCATGGAAGGTCAGGGAAAGGTCGGGGAAGGTCAGGGAAGGTCAGGGAAAGGTCGGGGAAGGTCAGGGAAGGTCAGGGAAAGGTCGGGGAAGGTCAGGGAAAGTCAAGGGAGGTCAGGGAAGGTCAGGGAAAGGTCGGGGAAGGTCAGGGAAAGGTCGGGGAAGTCAGGGGAAGGTTGGAAATGGTCAAGAGAGGGTCAGGGGTACTTTGCATTTTATAAAGTGAGTTTGTATATTAATATGAATAGATGATGTATATTTATTTTTTTTTAAATTATGTTTTAGGTGTGAATGTTTTTTTTTGGGGGGGGGAGAGGGGGAGTTTATTGTCTGCTTATGGATTATGTTAATGATATGGGATGTTATTATTATTATTATTATTATTATTATTATTTTTATTATTATTATTTTTATTTTTATTTTTATTTTTATTATTATTATTATTATTGTTATTGTTATTATTATTATTTTTATTATTATTACTATTATTATTGTTATTGTTATTGTTATTGTTATTGTTATTATATTTGTTGTTGTTGTTGTTAAGGAGTAACATCACTAAACAGTAACTTCATTTATGAAAATTAGCAAATATATTTAAGTCAGATATACATAATACACCAATTTGTTTATTAATTTGACCATCTGTTTACATAAACATCACGGCTGTACAGGGTGGTGCAGCTAAAGTGTACCATAGTCATTTGACCTTTTTTTTGTTCTAGTTTTTTTATTTTGTAGTTCCCGGTTGAGGCTAATAACAGGAACTCGACTTTTGGAACAACTAAAAAAAAAATGTTAGTTAACGATCTCCTGGAATAGTTGTTAAAAAGTTCTGGTTAAAATATTAGAATATGTCAAAAAGGTGATTGTAACTACTAGTACTACTATTTCTGCGTCACCCTGTATGATTATAAACTGAAGAGAGAGAGAGAGAGAGAGAGAGAGAGAGAGAGAGAGAGAGAGAGAGTCTAGTTTAATTTATCAGTACAATAACCCTCCTCTCCTGACCTGACTGATGGATGTTGGTTAGGTTAGGTTAGTTATTCATGTATGCTACGCTAATGTGTGTTGTGTGTGTTTTGGTGTTTGTTGAGCTTGTTTGTGCTGTTTGTTTATTATGATTATTTAAATGTAGTTTTTTATTTGTATATTTACCAATGATTAAGCAGTGGTTTTTTTTACCGACTTAATACCTGAATAAACCAGTTTTATATGTATCTCATGATTACATTTACCTGTTCACTTTAACACCTGTACTGACTGTTTGTTTTTCCATCCTCAGGGGAAGGGCTACGGCTACTCCCCTCCATCGGCAGTGTTCGACGATGACCCCGGCATTATGTCTGAAGCGGAGACCTCGTCCACGGGGTTCCGCAGGGGAGGGAAACAGCGAGCCTCCCTCCCTGTTTCCCGCACCCCCTCCACCAAGACCCTCGACAGTAGGAACTTTGGTGAGTACCGTCTGTCTTTCTTTCCTTCTTTCTTTCTTTCTTTTAGGGTTAATGAGACCTAAAACGACATCTACTCACCTGGCTACTGCATTGATTAACACCCAGTCAGGTAAATTAACCCTTCCTCGTCTCCCTCAACCAATCATGAACCAGAATCCTCAGGTTGGTGATTACCCGTGTGTGGTGGGGGGGGGCATTTTCTGAGGTCCATAGGTCAAGATGGGGGTCACTTAGGTCAAGATGGGGGTATGTGATAGAGGAATGTGACCTCACCCCCTTCATTCCTCGTCTCTCTCTTCTCTCACTTCTTCCTCCTCCTCCTCCTCCTCCTCTCCTCCTCCTCCCGCCAGACCAAGCTCAATATACTGTTCGTTATATTGTCATAAAACTTTTGCCCAGAGAAAGTTAGGCCATTGAGAGCTATTTGACCTTTCTTTCCTTCCTTACCTTCCTTCCCTCCTTCTTCCTTCTTCTTTCTTAACATCTTTCTCCATACTTTTATTTTATCCTCTTCCATCTTCCGTTTCTATATTCTTTCCTCCTCTCTTCCTCCTTCCCTCTACTTACTCCTCCCTTCAAGTTTCCTCCCCTCACCCACTCTGTTCCTTTACTCCCCTCCTGTCTTTTAATTTCCCCCTCCCTCCTCCTTTTCCCCCTCATCCTACTCTCCTTCCTCCTCACCCTCCTTTTCCCCTCCCCATCCCTCCCTCCTCCTCCTTCCCCCTCTCCCCACCCTCCACTCCTCCTCTTCCCCTCTCCCCACCCCACCCCTCCCTCCTTCCCTCCCTCAACACAAGGGCAGCACCGTCAGGAACACCTCGTCTTAACCAGCCAATACAGGTAGGAATGTTGTGGTGAGTCGTGGTGCGTGAGGCAGGCCAGGGAGCGTAGTGCTGCGGGCTCCTTTCTTATGGAAACTCATTTTTATATTAGTTTTTATTATTATTATTATTTTTTTAGTTTTAGAGGAAATGATTGGTTTTGGAATTGGTATATTATTATTATTATTATTATTATTATTATTATTATTATTATTATTATTATTATTATTATTATTATTATTATTATTATTATTATTATTATTATTATTATTATTATTATTATTATTATTATTACTCCCACAAGGTTCGGACTAGAGGTAAATTAAACGACCAAATTAAATATTAAAGGCTGAAAAAAAAAAACCGCCCGAAAAGTCTTAGTGATAATTGAAGGGTTAAACCAGGATGATTTTCGGCGAATAAGTTGGATGACTTTGAGAAAAATAATAGGATTAAGAACTGATTAATTTAGGCAAAGTTTTAGAAAATAATTTGTTGAATAGATTAAGCAGAAATTCCGAGAGAAGAAAAAGTTTTTAAAAAGTTTCCAGATATAGGAGATGGAAAAGTTTACACCAAGATGTATATACAAAGTTAGTTTGGTTTCTGTGTATATTTGTGAATTTATATTATGGGGTAGGATTAGGTTTGTGTAATGTGGATGAAGGAAAGTTGTTTATGGTGTGTGTGTGTGTGTGTGTAGTGTGTGTGTGTGTGTGTGTGTGTGTGTGTGTGTGTGTGTGTGTGTGTGTGTGTGTGTGTGTGTGTGTGTGTGTGTGTGTGTGTGTGTTTTACGAGTTACTTATTCTGGGAGTTATGGTCCGTTTGGTACACCTGGCGCCGAGGAGCATTTAATGAGCATTTATTGGAGCATGCTCGATTAATAGGTATTTAAGAAGCATTTATTTGTGTAGGGATATTTAAGGAGCATTAACTGTAGGGATATTTAAGGAACATAAAATATAGGGTTATTTAAGGAACATTAAATGGAGGGTTATTTAAGGAGCATTTATTAGTGTAGGAGCATTATTTAATTTATAGACATTTCAGAACCCATTATTGGAGCATTTCTGGGTAAAGGGAAATTTAGAAGGCAGTCATTTAAACACGTCTCAGTTAAGGAGAAATTTATTGTAGTATTTTTGAGTCTAGGGAAATATACGAGATAATTGTAGAAACAGCGAGTCGTTTAGGGAATATTTTAAGTAGAACCTGTAGCATTTAGTTTAGTTTAGGGAAAAATATATGAAGGATTTATTTGAAGCATTTTTTTGTAGTTTATGGAAAATTTTTGATGTTTTATTAATGTAATGCAGAATTTATTAATATATTTTTGGTTTGGGAAAATGTATGAGGAATTTGTGTATACATTTTCGACCTTAGAGAATTGTATGAAGAATTTATGAATACATTTTCGAGTTTATGGATATGCGTGTGGCATTGATTGAAGTTATTTTGTGTTTAGGAAGATGCTACGACTCTCCTTTGACACAGTGATGAAGGAAATTGAAAGGAAATGGAAGGCCTTTGAGAGACACACACACAGAGACTGAGAGACGGAGAGAGACACCTGGTGGATAGAGAGATCGTGAGACAGCAGGTATAAAAGAGACAAGAGACACACACACACAGGTGGTTTAAAGAGACGGAGAGACAAACAGGTGTAGAGAGTTAGAGAGAGACCAGGTGTAAAGAAAGGGCTTGAGAAGAGAGTATCTCACGCGAAGATGAATGGAAGTGTCACACAAGGGTTTGAATGGCGACACACACACACCTCTCTCTCTCTCCTCTCTCTCTCTCTCTCTCTCTCTCTCTCTCTCTCTCTCTCTCTCTCTCTCTCTCGTTAATAAGAGGTTCTTTTAATCCTAAATTAATTAAGCCTCAACACATAACTGCTCGAGAAGTCCAAAAGCTGAAAGCGACCAAACAAACAAACGTAAACAAAAACAAACAAACAAACACGAGTTCAAACAAAGAATTAAGTCAAAGAAAGATGAAGTCCTAAGTCCAATCATAAACAAACGAACGACGATACAAGTCCACAAGTCCAACTGACCGACAGACATGACCAAAGCTGCACGTCCACAAGTCCCGTAAAAGTCCAACACGACGACTGATTGAAATTGAATGAGTCGGACTTGTTCAGCCTGAATGGATTAAAATGACTGCCAGATGAACCGCCTAATAAGAGGACGTGTGTGTGTGTGTGTGTGTGTGTGTGTGTGTGTGTGTGTGTGTGTGTGTGTGTGTGTGTGTGTGTGTGTGTGTGTGTGTGTGTGTGTGTGTGTGTGTGTGTGTGTGTGTGTGTTGTATGAATAATGAATGGCTGTATGTGTGTGTGTGTGTGTGCTGAAATTTTATTTCCAAAATAGAGAACAATGGCGAGGCGACAGTGAATACAGATTAAACAATATATACACACACACACACACACACACACACACACATGAGGAAGATTGAAGAGAGGGTGAGTGGCAGTGTTGCAAATATCACCAGTGTGTGTGTGTGTGTGTGTGTGTGTGTGTCTACAACTATCCGTGTGTTTGTATGAGTATATTTGTATGTTTATGTATATCTTGTTTACACTCGAGGGTAGCCAACAGCTGGAAAGTAAACAAGGATCCGTTACATCAAAGGGAGTGTAAACAAATCTCGACTAAACTATAGACAAAAATGAATGAATGAAAAAAAAACTGATGTGAAATTTGACCTACACTTGACCTTGACATCTGATGACGTAATTTGACCTTGTTTCTGACCTTTTACCACCTGTCATGACCTTATACATACATACATACATACATACATACATACATACCTACATACATACATACATACATACATACATACTCCTCTGTTCGTCATTTGTTCATATTTTTCCTTTATTATTCATAATTCCTCCTTATCTTTCCTTTCTCCCTTCCTTCTCTCCCTAGCAATAACTCTCCCTAGCCACGTCTCTCCCTAGCCCTTCCCTCTTGGTCTCTTTCTGGTCCTAAAATTCCTTGGTCCCTGAGGCGTCAATTTTCTCGCTCCGCCTCCGAGATATTTCTACTATTATTATGTCTCACGTCCTGCTGAGAGAGAGAGAGAGAGAGAGAGAGAGAGAGAGAGAGAGAGAGAGAGAGAGAGAGGTGTGTGTGTGTGTGTGTGTGTGTGTGTGTGTGTGTGTGTGTGTCTCATCGCTCGGCCCATCTACCTGTACGTCATTTACGGCGCCTCCCTCCTCCTCGTCCTCCTCCTCTGAAGTGCTGTCCACGGCAGAGGTGACCTGAGGCTGCTATATTCCTCCCTCCCTCCCTCCCTCCCTCCGTTCTCTCTCCCTCCCTCTCTCTCCCTCCCTCCGTTCTCTCTCCCTTGTTCCCTCTTTAAGGCATTGTTCCAACTTTACCCCATCGGTGAAGGCGATTTACTTCATCACTCACTTTCACAATTACCAACTTCACAATCTGTCAGTTTTACAATCACCAGCTTCACATCTTCTCGTGTATACAAATTTATTTAACTGATCACTAAAGAACATGATTGTATATCCTCACTTCGTTCCTGTCCTCTTTAAAATAAACTCCTGTACGTCATGATATTTTCTATCCTGGAGAAATAGTTTACCAGGAACGAATTTATTTCCACTCTCCATTTGTATTTCTCTCTTCCTTTAGCGTCTCTATCCTGCCTTTAGCGCCCCTATCCTGCCTGCTTACCGCTCCCCTCTCCCCCTATCCTGCCTGCCTGCCGCTCCCCTCTCCCCCCATCCTGCCTGCCTACCACTCCCCCTCTCCACCATCCTGCCTGCCTGCCGCTCCCCCCTCTTCCCCCTGCTCTCCTTCCTCCATCCTCGTCCTCCTATCCTGCACCCTTGTCCCTCTATCCTGGCCCTCCTTATCTATCCACCCTGCACACACACTGTTATATCCTTGACTCTGAACCAAAATAATGTATATTACTTTATAATTAGTAGTAATGAGTTTTTTATATTATAAAAGCCTCTTGGTGAGCATATTAATGTGTGTGTGTGTGTGTGTGTGTGTGTGTGTGTGTGTGTGTGTGTGTGTGTGTGTGGTATAGATAGATAGATAGATAGATAGAGCAACATCTTGGTAGATAAATGTATAGATAAGTAAGCAGAGAGAGATAACACTAAATATATCTGGTTATTGTCCTCACTATCTCCGGCGTCTG